GTGTGTGACCTTAAGACTCGGTCAGGTGGAAGGGGAGTGAATGAATCACTAGTCTCACTGCCACATACAGCAAGGGAAGCAGTTAAGTCACTATATGACTTTTTTTATTACAGGCGTGTGCCAAATGAACTAGGCAGGCAGCAAGGCTCACAGCGTTTCCCCCTTCTACCTCTCCCCCCCCCCACTTAGCCCCCTCCCAAAGCCCTTCTCTCCTATACAATATGTTTAAATTGTTGTGGGTGTTTGGTCTTTTTAAAAAGTTTCTGTTTTGATTCTGTGCAACTGCTACTGTGCAGTAAATGCTGACAGGAATCAAAAGAGGGAGGAGATGAAGGCAGTGAAAGGCTGTAGTCAGGAGCAGTCTTTTGCTTTGACAGCGGAGAAAAGCTTGAATTACATACAGGAGGGAAGAGGAAAGGACTCAAGGAGGAGGAGACATGGCTGGAGTAGAAGAAGAGGAAGATTATCTTGGTAGCAGTGTTTGCACAGATTTAAAACACATTTTACAGGTTTTCCAATTAAATTGGGTGAAAAATTTGAGCTGAAATGCATAAAATATTACTTTTCAAAGATTTTAGGGACCCTGGTCTTAAGGGCTGCAGTAAGGGCTCCATCCGGAAAAGTGTTGAGCATTTGGATTCCCAACCTGCAAATCATACACATGCTAAACTTTAAGCATGTAGGTAATCTCACTGAGGTCAACGAGACTATTCCCTAGGGTGATCAGATGTCCCGATTTTATAGGGACAGTCCCAATATTAGGGGCTTTTTCTTATCTAGGCGCCTATTATCCCCCCCCCCCCCACCCCACACACACACTCTGTCCCGATTTTTCATACTTGCTATCTGGGCACCCTACCACACACACAGAGAGTTTAGCAGTGCTTAAGTGATTTGTAGGACCAGAGACAGAATGCTCAGCACTTTGCAGTATCAAGCCCCAATACAAGAAGATAATGAACTTGACAGCTTATTAGCATAATCAAGCCAAACCTGTCAAGTGGATATAATATAATGCTTAGCAGTGATTTGGGATCTTAAAAAGAAGAACAGGAGTACTTGTGGCACCTTAGAGACTAACAAATTTATTAGAGCATAAGCTTTCGTGGACTGTAGTCCACGAAAG